TTTTTTTTGGTCGGGCTGACTGAATAAATGTTGGAATTTATGCGTTTAGGCTGCTCGTATGCTTTGGTGTATTGTTCGTTTTTCGAGCGAGGAGATTGTTGAGAATCGTAGGCAATTGGCTTTTTTAAATTTGAAGAACCATTACTCTTTTCGTTCGCTTCCAACGTTCTGTCGCTAGTTTTTTTTCTTTCATTAATTTCGCTTTCTATCCGTTGTACTTGTAACACCACTCTCCTTGTCAATCGTATGAATGAATCCAAAAAACGAGCTATCACAAAACATGTTCAATTGATTACTCTTCGTCTTGAGACTCATTTAGTAGCCACAAATACGGTTCATCATCAAAGCGTCGAGTGTATGCGTCGCGCGAAGGGTTCTACCGTACATGGAACACAGACAAGCAAACAATCCCTATATGGAGTGAGGGATACTGAAAAAGCGTACGGGACTAATTTGTCCCGTGGTCTCTCCTGAAGATTCGATCCATCTTTGTCACCCTGATGGTTGTATAGAGATCTCGTTCGCCCATGCCGGCTGCCTCCTAGATCTGGCCACTACCACCTTGGTTGAACACCAAAACCTCTCGCAAGGTTACGCTCTGAATCGGTATGCTTGTTCTGCCCTCGTATTTATTACATCATTGTGGCTGATAGATTATCCTGTGGCTACAAGTGTTGTCTCCCCGATATCGTCATACTTTTCGCGTTTTATTTATCCAGTAGTCATCCTGGTCCAACATCTCCCCGATGGTCGCCAAGACTGATCAATTAGCTTTGGAGTTTAACGAAGAGGCCGAAAACGATCAGTTTGATTCGCACGAACCAGAGCAAGAGGAGGAAGGAGAAGAGGAAGAGGACCATCAGGAAATCGACAACGAAGAGGAGAAAAGTAAAAAGCGTATTCGTCACTTGAAGTATCTCTCATCATTGACTGAGAACGAGCTACTCGAGTTGGCGCAAGAAGTTGGGGTACGTGGATTGGTGGTTTGTCCACTAGTTTTTTTTTGGCTGACGCTTACCATGAAAGATTCCTCGGGAGAGAGTAGCACCTCATGTGAAGCTCATGTTGAAGAACTTTCGTTTCGTGGCTCGTACGTTGCTGGAAGACGAAGAGGTGGATTGTCACTAGTGCTCAAGAGCCAGGGCCATAACGAGAGAACGAGTGCTCGTGCTGGGGTTTGTAAATGAATAAGATGGAAGTTCCACAAGGTCCTTTTATTTGTGATGGCGAAGCAGTTCGGAGATTGGGGGAGGGAAGACAGATTATAGCTCTTTTGCTACGAACCCAGGGAGCGGCTGGTGAATTATCGCCGCTCAAAAAAAACAGGCCGTGCCCGGGTTCGAACCGGGGTTACGAGAAGCCGATTCAACCATTGTATGCATGGTCTTTCAAAATCTCGAGTGATAAACCACTACACTACACAGCCTTGGATCTCAGAGTTTGATGACGGAATCTAAACGCTCACACTTCTCACCCCTCATATTAAACTCGCGACAGCCAATCTCACCTAGACTCGACCGCGATGGCGAGCAAAGCGGAAGAGCTACCGACACCGGCTCCAGCTGTCCGTCGCAAGTCAAAACCGGCTTGCGTTCTCCGACTCAACTCGTTTGCTATTGTCCTCCTCGGCGCAGCAGCCTTTATCGTCTGGAACATTACCCACATCCCCAGTCACTCGCACCGTTCACGTCCACTTCCACCCCATGCAGCCAAGGAACTTTCTCGCTGTAAATCGTTGCAAGAAAAACCCGGCCCGTCAAAACATTTCTGGAGTCGGACCGTATCTGACCGATTTGAGCCTGGTACGCCGCCGACGTTGATTCAGAATGCGACGATCTGGACTGGTGGGGACGATGGATACGAGATTGTGCTTGGTGATATCTTTTTGGACAAGGGTTTGATCAAGGCTGTTGGACGTGTTCCGGACGTGTTGTTGGATAACGCTGGGCCGAAGCTTGTTACGAAGAACGTTGGCGGGGCGTGGGTCTCTCCTGGTACATTCACATCATATATTTCTTTGATTTTCGGCTAATGGATTTTATGTAGCTATTAATGATATGCACAGTCATCTAGGCGTTGACAGCGTTCCCGAACTTCGTGGTGCGTCTTTCTTCGCATTCTCATAATTAATCTCAACAGTTTCTACCAGGCTCGGACGATACAAACTCGCTCAAAGCGCCCACAATGCCCTACCTGCGCTCTCTCGACGGATTCAACACCCACGACGCTGCTTTCGCACTCTCCCGCAGCGGAGGCGTAGCCACAGCGCTCATCTTACCAGGGAGCGCAGATAACATCGGCGGCCAAGCATTCGTCGTTAAAATTCGGAAAACAAAAGAAGGAGGGCCTAGTTCGATGGTCCTCGAACCTCCTGCGACGTTGCACGTCAACGGGACGCGTGGAGAAGAAGAGGATGGGGTTAGGTGGAGGCATATGAAGCATGCGGTATGTGTCACTTCGAATCACATTGCTTAATGACATGACTCAATGGATCTATTTTTGTAGTGCGGTGAGAATCCGTCGAGGGTGTATAAGCAGACTCGGATGGATAGTATGTGGGAGTTTCGCAAGGCGTATAGTTCGGCGAGGGATGTGATGCGGAAGCAGGACGAGTTTTGTGCGCGTGCTGAGGCTGGAGCTGGTTTGTTTCCTTTCGTATCGTGGATTGTGGTGATGATGCTGATTGGGTTGGGTTGGTGTAGTGGATTGGTCCAAAGAACGGTTTCCTGAGAATTTACATTTCGAGGCGTTGGTCGACGTCTTGAGAGGACGTGTGAAGGTTAATATTCATTGTTACGAAGCAGGTACGCCTCCCCCTTCCCTCCCTCGCATCCTCGCACTCTCAATTCTCACATTATCTTCCAGTCGATTTTGACGGAATAGTCAGGGTACAGCTCTCCCATCATATAGCGTCATTCGAACCCATACTGACGTCTTAAATCGATATACAGCTCACAAACGAATTCCAATTCCCCATCGCCGCGTTCCACCACGCGCACGAAGCGTACCTCGTCCCGGATTTGGTCAAAAAAGCGTGGGGCAAGGTTCCGCCTGGTGTTGCTTTGTTCGCTACCAATGCTAGGTACGTTATCTTTTTTCATTTTGAAGGAGGTTGGTTGGCTGACTGGGATGGGGTGTGATAGGTATAAGAGGGAAGCGTATCGCGGGTCAGAGTTTGCGCCAAAGATTTTACATGAGAATGGGTTGAAGGTTATCATGAAGGTTCGTTCACTCTGTTCTCATACCTACTCTTTCATTCTAGCGTTGACTTTTTTAGTCTGACCACCCGGTCCTGAACTCCCGATTCCTCCTATACGAAGCCGCCCAAGCGCACTATTACGGTCTTCCCCCCGGACCTGCTTTATCGGCTGTAACGACCACGCCAGCTGAAGTTGCAGGGTTCGGACATCGTCTTGGACGAGTCAAGGCTGGATACGATGCTGGTTCGTCCCCACCCGCTCTCCATCCCCCTAATAATCCTAATTAATAGTGGTGAAAATAGATATAGTGGTATGGGACTCGCACCCACTCACACTCGGCGCGACACCTCAACAGCTCTACATCGACGGAATCGCTCAACTCGATGATCCAGTGGTTGTGACCAAGCCGAGTACGTTTCAGCGTGTGCCGGCTGTGCCAGAGTGGGACCAAGCTGCGAAGGATGCGGTTAGGTATGAGGGGTTGCCGCCGCTTTTGCCTGAGAAGAAAAAGGACAAGGGGGATGTTGTGGTGTTTAACAGGGTTAGCGAGGTGTGGAGTCAACATGAGGTGAAGATGGAGAGCGTGGGCGGGGAGGGTGTTGTGGTTGTTAGAGATGGAAAGGTTACGTGTGTTGGGACGTGTGCTGTTGAGAAGGAGGAAGGCGTGAGGGTTGTGGATCTCGCACATGGCACGCTTTCACCTGGGTTCATCTCCTTCGGCGCTCCGCTCGGTTTGGAAGAAATTTCGGCTGAAGCGTCGACGAACGACGGTCGTGTACCTGATCCTTTTGCTAAAGGAGGCGTACCGGAGGTTGCGGGTGGAGACGGGTTAGTGGTGAGCGCTGTAGACGGGTTATCGTTTGCTGGTCGGGATACTTTGTACGTCCTTTCCCTGTTTCTCCTCTTTTTTGATCAAGATACTGATGGCGGTCGGAAAGGTTGGCGTACCGAGCGGGTGTGACGACTGCTGTGACTGCTCCAGTCTCGAGAGGCATGTTTTCGGGTGCGAGTGTGGCATTCAGGACTGGTGCGGAGCATAGGCTTGAAGAGGGGGCTGTTATCAACGTGAGTCGTCCCTTCCTTTTCCTGGAGGTGATTGGGGGATTGATGAATGAGGTGGTTATAATAGCCTCTAGCTGCGTTACATCTCTCGATCGGACACGGGTCGAGTGTGAGCGTTGCGACGCAGATCGCTACGCTTCGTAGGCTCTTGTTGAAGAATAACGCCAAGGCGTCTGGCCATGATCATGCGACGGTTAAGCGGGTTTTGGATGTACGTCCCCTTTTTCTCTCTTTTTTTCCCTGGGTGAAATCAACGTACTCGTTTTAGGGCCAAGTCCCGCTGGTCATCACAGTGCACAAGGCAGACCACATGGCAACCCTTCTCGAACTTAAATCCGAGATCGAAGACCTCATAGGTCGACCGCTCCGTCTCACATTCGCAGGAGCAGCCGAAGCGCATCTCATCGCGCGCGAAATCGCTGATGCGGGTGTAGGTGTCATTGTAATCCCGACGAGACCGTTCCCTGCCAGTTGGGACCAGAAACGGATGTAAGTTTTTTTTTGTTTCTGGTTTGAGGCGGGGTGTTGATGGTGGTGGGGTGGGGTGGTAGAATTCCTGGTCCGCCGTTGAGCAAAGATTCGTTGATTTCTGTGCTCGTCAAGGCGGGTGTGACGGTGGGCGTAGGTGTGGTCGAAGCTTGGGAGGCGAGGAATGCGAGGTTTGATATTGCTTGGGTGAGTGGGATTGACTTATCTTTTTGGAATACGGGATTTACGTTCGCGTACTAGGCTGCGTTGGAGTCGGATGGAGATCTTGGGAAACATGATGCGCTTGCGTTGGGCACGACCAACTTGCAAAAGTAAGCGTCTTCAGCATCCAGCCCGATTCTAATCTTAACGTAATCTTGTAAGGTTGCTCGGACTTGAAGGTTCCGACGTTGGAGATCTCGTCGCTTTCCACG